CACACTTGTTGAGTGGAATTTAATTCTTCTTTGTGACGATATACCGTACATCTTTCCCAGGAATGTCAGTGGATTATGGGCAAATGGAAGGGTGGACGGACAAGACCCCAAATGGCCTTGTTTTTTAAACTGTTGAATTAGAAAGAAACACCATTCACTACCCTATTCTTTCAATTTTATTATGAATGCTGGGAGAGTGTGGATATTTCTGACAGCAGTGGTGGGAAATCTAAACAGATGCAATAAAACCACATATTTGGCTGAGATGCTATTAATAACAGAGTAATATCATTGAAATATATCTGCAGTGCACTTTAGCCCTATGGCTGGGTTTTTAACCTGTTCCTATTTCATCTCTGTGCTACTGCAGATGCTGTAGCAATAAACTTTCATTTTCCTGGCCCTCAACGACTAGCATATGCTCCCTGGAGTATAGATGTCACAAGAGGATGGTAGAACAGATGGCAGGAAAGAAATCACCACATTCTAAACATGCCAAAATATGCACATACATTATTATTATTATTTCAAATGAAGAAGAAGAAAGAAAATATGAGAATGAAATAGTGAGGAAAGGTGAAGAGGAGGCTTTATTACAGATACAAACGTGTCTTCAGCTTTCTTTGCATTAATTGTGCAAAATACATGTATTGTGTTCAGCAAAATGAGAAATATCTACTTTGGTACCTTATACAACACCTCACATCCAGGCTGCTTCTGCAGAGCTGAGATTTTCTTGTAGGAGATCTGGATGGATCAAAAATGCATCTTATGACAAACCTGCACTCCCGCCTCCATACCCAATTAATTCTGTCAAACAAAAGCTTTGTGAACTTGTGTTTGTGCCAGCTTATTGTCAGCACCTGCCCAAGGTAGCTTAGAACAAGTAAAAGCTTTGAAATAATTGACAATGCACTCATGCTTAGAAGTAAAACCCACTAAGTGCAATATGGCTTACTAGAAAGTGTATTTGGGATTGCAGCCTGAGACAATGAAACAATCCTGCTCAAAAATAGCAAACAATACTGCTTCAGTAGTCTTCCATTACATATGGATAGTATATGATGAAATTTTAGAATATTATGTTCTCAATGTGTGGTCATATTCCCCCTTCCCCTTAGAATGTAGATGACAGTAAGTAGTCTGATGTCAAAAGAGAGTAAGGAAATCACCATGTGACTGACATCTGTCAAGTCCAAGTGGGAGTGTCAAGGATGCACTGACAAAAATGTCTGCACTGAGGTGCCAGTAGCTAAAGTTGCACCCTCACTTGCCATGGCTGAAACAAGCTCATAGTCTTTGCCTGGTATTTGGTCAGGTGAAATTGATGTCGTTCTGCCAAACCAGTAATATTTGCTTTAAAGATGAGGCCTTGTGCTGTGTGTGGCTAGCAGCAGCTAGCTGGGAGCAGAAGGATGGAGAGTTTAGAGCATGGGTAGGCAAACTAAGGCTCATGGGCCGGATTTGGCCCAATCGCCTTCTCAATCCGGCCCGTGGACGGTCCGGGAATCAGTGTGTTTTTACATGAGTAGAATGTGTCCATTTATTTAAAGTGCATCTCTGGGTTATTTGTGGGGCCTGACTGGTGTTTTCATATTAGGAGAATGTGTGCTTTTATTTAAAATGCATCTCTGGGTTATTTGTGGGGCATAGGAATTGGTTCATTTTCTTTTTTCAAAATATAGTCTGGCCCCCACAAGGTCTGAGGGATGGTGGACCGGCCCCCTGCTGAAAAAGGTTGCTGACCCCTGGCTTAGAGTGTTGCTGTGTTTTAGCAGAGAAGCAGCTCCAATCATATACTCACTGGGCAACCCCCATCTCCCTCTCTTCCTTCACCCTGTGCACTTACATTGGATTTGCTCAGATTAGCAATAGCCCTTGAATTACAGGAGCCTCATTTTCTGGCCTGTGACCAGGGCTGGATCTAGACACATAAAGAAGCATTTCAGTTTAAAGCATTGCAAATTTAAACAGGGAAAACAGGTAGAGAAAAATAGGACTCCACATCGCCATCAGGTGGCACAATGTTATATCGTACATTCAACACATATACAGTGGTACCTCGGGTTACAAACGCTTCAGGTTACAGACTTCGCTAACCCAGAAATAGTACCTCGGGTTAAGAACTTTGCTTCAGGATGAGAACAGAAATCATGCTCCAGTGGCGCAGCAGCAGCAGGAGGCCCCATTAGCTAAAGTGGTGCTTCAGGTTAAGAACAGTTTCAGGTCAAGAACGGAATTCCGGAACAAATTAAGTACTTAACCCGAGGTACGACTGTAAATCACTTTTTTTTTACCATGCTAGGTAAGGAGGGACAGATGAGATTTCTTTTCTTCCTTCTTTTCTATAGCCAACTCTGGCTCTATATCAGCCTAGTAAGCCTCGCTCAAAAGGAAGGAAGAAGTGGCTTTGGGGAGAGCTGAAAAGGCTGGGAAATTGAGTGATATTCTTTGCCTTGAATTTTAATCTGAGCTGGAGAAGATGCCAGGATCCTTGTATTGCCTACCTCTCCTCTGAGAGGTGCCAGCTCCATAAGCATCTCTGTGCAGAGTCAGTGTATTCCCCTGGGAGAGTACTAGCAGTAAACCTCATCCCAGGCTAGAGTGAACAATGAGTGATATTTCAAAATAGAGGACAACTGCAATGCAGCAAGTCTGGGAATGAATGCTGGGCAAAAGGTTACACATTATTAATATGCAAATTGAACATGTTAAAATAGCATTATTAATTAGAGCTATTCCAACAGGTCCTTTAACTCTGTAACACATAGAGTGCATACATATCAGATTGGTAAATGATTGCAGAGACAGAAGTAAGATGGATGGGAAGAGATGAGAGGGAGGGGGGGCTAAAATGTGTGAAGAAAAAGGAAGGAGAAGAAGAAGAGGAGGAGGAGGAGGAAGAGGAAGAAGAGGAAGAAAGTGGTAGAGGGAGTGCAGATGAGTAGCATAGCTCTCTTCCTGGATCTTCTGTCAAAGGCCTTGTGTGTCTTTACAGTCCATCCCCCTCTGTGTCTGGAAAATGCGTTTCTTTGTAGGATTCTGTGTGCAGTGATAGAGCAGTTCTGGGACTCAATCTTACCTGTAAATAATGCCATCTGCTCTGTAAACCCTGCTGCCAGGTGTGTGTTTTTTGGGGAGGCAGGGATGGAAAAGTTATAGCTAGTCCTGATCTTGTCTCACAGTCTTCATCTTGTCTGGACAAAGATGTGGGATAATCAAGATCAATCCTCTTGTGTCCTATCCCTGCACATCTCCTGCATCCTAATTTAATCAGGGCAACAATCCATCACCCATTAATTCACAATGTCAAGAGCCTGGCAATCTCATGTACCCTTCCATCCACCAAACATGAAGCACCTACCTTTTCAAAGAGAAATGTTAGCACCTCCGTCCTTTTATTTCCTTGGCAAATCATTTTTGCACAGAATATTCATTTTCTATGACTACTTAGAATCATAGAATTGTAGCATTGGAAGGGACCATTCAGGAATCTTTTGTCTGACATGCAGCTGAAGCCCACGACCCTGAGATTAAAAGTCTCGTGCTGTACCTGATGAGCTATCAGATACTTATATTTCATGAGTAAAAGGTAAAGGTAAAGGTACCCCTGCCCGTACGGGCCAGTCGTGCCCGACTCTAGGGTTGTGCGCCCATCTCACTTAAGAGGCCGGGAGCCAGTCACGTGGCCAGTGTGACGAAGCTGCTCTGGCAAGCCAGCACCAGCGCAGCACACGGAAATGCCGTTTACCTTCCCGCTAGAAAGCGGTACCTATTTATCTACTTGCACTTTAGGGGTGCTTTCAAACTGCTAGGTGGGCAGGAGCTGGGACCGAAGACGGGAGCTCACCCTGCCGCGGGGATTCAAACCGCCGACCATGCAATCGGCAAGCCCTAGGCGCTGAGGTTTTACCCACAGCGCCACCTGCGTCATGAGTACCTGACTTCAAATTTTCTTTTCTTTTCTTTTCTTTTCTTTGGAACCTTTCTCATGGTTCTCATGGACATCATATTTGTACTACTCCTGTTTCTCTCTAGCTTCCTTGCTATATATTTGGTTTCATTTCTTTGCCCCCATTTTGCCTACTAGCCCCTGCTGTGGTTTGGGAACATCAGAGCATCCCTCCTCTGCCTCCTCCCCCTTCCCCATTCTTTTCATCCTTTCTCTATCTCTCCACACATACTCACACTCTCTCTGTCTGACAGAATGCCTTGGCTCACTATGACACTATATGGCTCTCTTGCTCTCTCCTCCACCCTCCTCCTATCTGAGGCAGCCCTCAGCTGAAACTAGCAAATTTCTAGGTCAGCTCTTGCCTTCCTCCCCAGCAGAAATGGGAAAGTAATGTCTAGAACCAAAATAAAATTCCCCTCAAGCACCCATTGTTTCTGAAGGGCTGTTCCTTGAACACTGAAGCAGATTTGAAACATGTATATAGATGTGGTCTTCAGATAGCATGGAACCACAAGACATTCTGCAGATGCTTAGACAAGCTTTTATTGTTATGAGTTCACTTGCTCTAAAGCTGAGACCTGCCCTTTAAGATTAGTTCTAGAACTTGATGTGTCTTGATTACAATTAAGCATTGCCTTGTGTGACTTTATTTATAACAGCATTTTGTTACTGTGGATTCAATACAATTTTTTGCTTCAGTGAATATTGCTGCTCCCATTAAGAACCATGGTCTTATTATCCGAGTTCCCTATGCCCTAGCATTATCATCTCTTCCCACCAGTTAGAGCTGTGCGATTGTTGGTTGTTTCTGCCACTTACACAGAGTGGATTGGGGAATCCAAAGTCAACATGACAGGCAAAATATGGCATTCTAAAGACTTATGGGATAATATGTTTTTCATAACACATCCTGAATATTTTCTTACAGTCCCAGTGAGATGTCAGGCCCTCATTCGGGTATAATGCGACCATCATTTATCAAAATGTGTTAATATAAAATTTATTTTGGGAGTTACTCAGGAGAACTCTGATTCTTCTCTTCTAGGAGCTGGTGGCTGGTCCCCATTGGATTCTAGCAGGGAACAATGGCTCCAGATCGATTTAGGGGACAGAGTGGAAATTACAGGTGTCGCTACTCAAGGAAGGTACGGAAGCTCAGACTGGACAACAAGCTACATACTAATGTTCAGTGACACAGGTCGCAATTGGAAGCAGTACAGAGAAGAAGACATCATCTGGGTAGGTCTGAAGGTTTTGGATTAATGCTATGGTATAATTAGCAACCTGCAGAAAACAGATGTAGCATTCTAAACCAAAATGCATGTTTTCCATCTCCAAAGTTGTTGAGGATGTACTGTTGTATGGAAACAATTGCATCTTTTCGAGTTTCAGTAGGGATACAGTTGGGAGTTTGTGTGGAATTGCTGAAATCTTTAAAAAGGCTGTTGCTAGTTTTATGTCTATGAAGAAAGGATCAAAGAATTCATGTGGTATTATAGACCCAAAATCTCCAAAAAACCAAGATGGTAAATAAAGAGCGTCTCAATGTGCAACTTATTGTTTGGTAAATCTCATGGATTGTTTTTTGGTGAAATAGCAGTTGTGGCATCCTTCATCATTCCACTTCACACTCCTGTTCCTCATCCATATTTTTTGATGTTGGGTATTAGTGATTTCCACAGGCCATTCTTTGTTCACATGAAAAAAAGAACCACCTTCAGCTCTTGTAATTGTATGCAATAATAATATGTGAATTATTTTGTGAATTATTGCTATATGTAGACCAGCCATGCTAAGTTCTTATTTAGTTTGATTCTTTCATTATATATATAGCCTACCATTCTGTGTATCTGAAGAAGTGTGCATGCACACGAAAGCTCATACCAAGAACTAACTTAGTTGGTCTTTAAGGTGCTACTGGAAGGAATTTTTTTTGTTTTGACTATGGCAGACCAACACGGCTACCTATCTGTAACATTTCTAGTGAGATAAGGATGCGAGATTGTGTGGTATTGTGGTTCAGCATATGAGTAGTAGACAGGAATGCATCTCATTCAAATCACAAATCTTGCATAAATTTCCTCAATGGCTTTATGCAAGCCACCAGCATTCTAAGGTGTCAACCTTTAATGTGTTCATAATAATGCAAGCATACATTACAGAGCTGTTGTAAGGATTCCTGGAGGTATGTGAAACACTCAAGAAATTGATGCTAAGTATTGCTATAGTTTCACCCAACACTATCCTCATAGGGCTGACAATTGAAATGTAGTTTGTCAAGCTATCTCTCTCCCAAGAATGAGTTCATCTTTTAATTTAACTCATAATAACATGAAAGATGAATCAGCATGAGTTCCATTGGGATTAATTAATGTTAACTGATGACTGTGGGCTAAGTCAACTCTTTCTGTATTATGGGTTACATACAGAGATGTCCACCCACTTGCACAATGTAAATCTGCTTGTGCAATGGGACGTTTGGTTTTCCTCTGCCCTGTGCTCCAAAATTTGTATGCAGAGCAGATGCAGGGCCATTGGAGCTCACACTATTTTATTCATTTATTCCAGAGTTGATATGTTCACCATCCTTGTATATATTTAGGTGCCAGTCAAAAACTTTCCTCTTTAATCAGGCCTTTGGCCTTTATCTGTGGCCTTTTAGGATGTTTTCAATGTATTTTTTCCTCTGTTTTAATGTGGGATGGTTTTTTTCTGTTTTCGTTGTAAATTGCTTTGAGTTGCCTTGGCAAGAAAAAGTGATGAACAAATTTATTAAATATATAATGATAATACTGCTATTCCTAGGATAGCTGATAAACTAGCAGATATCTGCATGATAAAATAATAGAAACACGTACTGTTCAATCAGTGAAATAAATATGACTGGCAGGAAAAGCAACAGTGTGGTTGTTAACCTGCAAACCCCACAAAACTCAGATAAAATTAAAAGGCCGTGGGAAGTAAAATGGTTTTAATCTGGTACAAAAAAATACATTATGAGGAGGCACCTGGGAAGGTGGTTCAAATGTAGGCCATCACAACCAACGAAGTCCTCTCCCTAGTTATCACCTGTGCATGATGCAAATTATATTGGGTTGTTATTTATTCAGATACCCACAAAGTGCATTTTGAGGGCAAACTAATTTCAAATGAAAATTAAGGATGATCAGATAAGTGGACAGCAAGTTTCCATTCAACATGTTTTATCATTATTAGGTATGCCAATACAGTACCCTGTATCTTTTTTCTTTCCATTTCCTATCAGTTGATGAGAAAATAAATTGCATATGAGGATTATCAAAAGGGAGAGGAAATTTCAATGAAATTCTCATTGGTGGGTGCAAAGATTTCTTTGTGTGTGTGTGTGTGTGTGTGTGTGTGTGTGCTTATCTTACTTTCAAGGTAGCCAAGGGCTGGTTGTGAGTGTCCTTTATTTCAATAAAATAATAATAATGTTTCTGTACTTTGCAACCTTCCTGGGTGACCAGTTTTCCTGAAAATCCCACAATATTTTGAGTGGGACTTTCCTCTAAGGCTAGCAAAAGAACGTGGGCAATTGTGATTTTCCCATAGTTTTCATGCCCAGCATACTTTTCTTTCCCACCATATAAAATTCAGCATGAAATGGCAGTATATCAGCTAAAAAGCCACAGTTCCATACAACAACCGGTAAAGCAATGTAAGTGGAACATTCAAAATTGGAACAGAAGTACTTACTAATCAGGAAAATTATTACAATCACAATCATCCCCACGTCTGACCTACCCAATGATATATATTTGATAGATGACATATCTGAACATCATTTCTTAGTATGGTTAGCAAACAAAGCAGCAGTTATAAACAATGGACTGGTACCCTCCCACAATCAAGAAGGCTTGTCAGTCAGTGCAGTGAATAAAACACACCAAAATAAATCATTGTGACCCCTCAGGATAGTTTGAGACTCTGGAGTTTCAAAATGGAGATGGAATTTCATATTATATTCCTCTTCCATGGACAAAGTAGAAGTTGCACATGAACTCTACCTTTCTGCATTCGAATCTTCATCTTCCAGTGCTGCTGCTTTGATGTAACAAGATGAACACAAGAGAAGTGGTTCTAAATGTATTTTTTTGAAAATGAGAAGGTTATGACACTGGATGTCCTTGCATCAAGACGGGATGAGAGAAAGCCTTTCCTGAGGGTTGAGGAAACCTCACAAAAGGCTTAAGAATTAGTGTGGAGCTATAGTGGAAAGGAAAATTGGTCAAAATTGGAGAGAGGTACCTGCATGAACATTTTTTTGGAACTGCTGCAATCTCACAATTCTGTTAATGCCACTCTGAATCCAATCCACTGACACCGGATCATGTGGTATGGTAGCTTCAGTTGCACAATAGCGTCCTTTGAAAATATTCCAGTGGCCCTATAATCAAACAGGTCAGCTGGTTGATCCTAATAAGGTCCAAGGACAAATCTGTGTTTGATTTATGCAATTCCCTGGTAGGTAGAATATGTGTATTTCCACCTCATTAGCAACTGATTGGGCCAGATTCAGCTAACCAGTCTTGCTACCGGAAGCCTGTACACTGACCTCTATTATCTCGAGGGTATCCCCCACTTTCTTCTCCCCATACATCCTGCACAGCCCCCAAATTTGTTCAGGGGGTTGGGATAACCCCCAGAACAGTGCACAGGAGGGGAAAGGGAGAGATCATTTCATCAGGCAAGTAGAAATGTTTGCCTTGAAGGCGCAATCTGTTCAGTACTATGTTGAATTCTTCCCTTTTTTAAGGTTTAGGTTTTAGGTTTGCTCACAACAAACATATGCGGTCCATTAGACTGAGAAAAAATAAGACGAGAGGATGAATGACTGACATGTCTTCTATTGTACACCACCCTGGCTCTTCTCAGGCAATGTCTTCAACTCTGTTCCCAGTACTATTGCATAGCCCTTAAGCATTTCTTTCCCTGATCAACATTCCTGAAAGTATCTAGTTACAATTGCAATTGCTGGGAGATGCTGTAATCTGAGCAGTTTAGATGCTATCAGGTGAATAATGAAATCTTATCACAAAAAGGGTCATAAAATACTATACATGGCTTTGTTTTTTGTTTTAAAAAAAGCTGGAAGGAGGTCAGGCAAAGTTACACTTTCAAGTAATTCTGTAACACTGTGTGATTCCTTATTTCTATTACTGTTCACCATGGGAATAGATGGCCTGCAGATAACGGCAGTTTCTGCTAATGCTGACAATGGAAAAATAAGTTTCTTGTGGACAACACAATTATAGAATAGTGAGGCCTTCAAAGAGCTCAAGGTCATCAAGCCTAGCACCCCTATCCCACACATTGACTTCATGTATTCCATATTCTTCCAGTTGGAACAGATTAAACCAATTAAAAAATAGAATACAACTTGTGGTCACCCATATTATAGAACCACACACAACGCAGAAGATAAGAGCAAGAGTTTGTTTGTTTTTAAAAACCCAGTCATGCTGGAATTGCTTAACAAATATAGTTATTACAAGTTTACTCAGGTCATTCCAGAAAGTAATATGTTCCACATGATATCACAGGAGAAGAGGGAGATGGGAAACGAAGTTTTGCCATTCATGACTCTTCTAGAATTATTTCCCTGATGTTAAAGGTTGTGATGCAATAAGATTTTCAGCCATTTTGTATTTGGTTTTTGTTAGAATCAGGGAAGTAAAATGATTGATTTTCCTTTAGAGGGGATCAAAAGTTCACAGGAAGGTTAAAAGTACAAGGGAATTTTGAAGAAGCAGGTATTGGGCACAGGAGAGTCAAAAGTTTGAGACAGTGTGTTTAAGCTTGACCTTACCTCAACTGCAAATAAAATTAAGAATTTGTCTCATGGCCCTTACACACTCGAGTGTAATGATTCCTATAAATTTATTGAGGATAGAAGAATTTAATTAAATAATGTTTACTAAGGGAAATTAAAAAAAAAAATTGCATGAATGGAAGTGCATTCCCATAACGTTGTTGAGGCATATTGCAGGAGGAATCCAGGGACAATGGGAGAACCTAGTTGATAGTCTGCATATGTCAGAAGCAGGGATGTGATCTAAATCAAGATGAGGTCAAGTTCCAGAGCAACAATCAAAGTTTGGGAAGAGATACTTAGGTTGACCCTAAGACGAGTCTCTCAGGCTGTGGAGCAAACTCTGTGGCCAAGCTTTATAAGACCTGATGGATAGGGATTGACTAGAAGTCAGCTGACATGCTCA